TTTACCAAAATTCGGTACCATAATTACCAGACCATACAAAAATGCGGTACCGTAATTACCAAACCATACAGAAATTCGGTACCGTAATTACCAAACCATACAGAAATGCGGTACCGTAATTACCAGACCATACAAAAATGCGGTACCGTAATTACCAAACCATACAGAAATTCGGTACCGTAATTACCAGACCATACAGAAATTCGGTACCATAATTACCAAACCATACAGAAATTCGGTACCGTAATTACCAAACCATACAGAAATTCGGTACCATAATTACCAAACCATACAGAAATTCGGTACCGTAATTACCAGACCATACAGAAATTCGGTACCGTAATTACCAAACCATACAGAAATCCGGTACCGTAATTACCAAACCATACAGAAATTCGGTACCGTAATTACCAAACCATACAGAAATTCGGTACCATAATTACCAAACCATACAGAAATTCGGTACCATAATTACCAAACCATACAGAAATTCGGTACCGTAATTACCAAACCATACAGAAATTCGGTACCATAATTACCAAACCATACAGAAATTCGGTACCATAATTACCAAACCATACAGAAATTCGGTACCGTAATTACCAAACCATACAGAAATTCGGTACCGTAATTACCAAACCATACAGAAATTCGGTACCATAATTACCAAACCATACAGAAATTCGGTACGTAATTACCAAACCATACAGAAATTCGGTACCATAATTACCAAACCATACAGAAATTCGGTACCGTAATTACCAAACCATACAGAAATTCGGTACCATAATTACCAAACCATACAGAAATTCGGTACCATAATTACCAAACCATACAGAAATTCGGTACCGTAATTACCAAACCATACAGAAATGCGGTACCATAATTACCAAACCATACAGAAATCCGGTACCGTAATTACCAAACCATACAGAAATCCGGTACCGTAATTACCAAACCATACAGAAATCCGGTACCGTAATTACCAAACCATACAGAAATTCGGTACCGTAATTACCAGACCATACAGAAATTCGGTACCATAATTACCAAACCATACAGAAATTCGGTACCGTAATTACCAAACCATACAGAAATCCGGTACCGTAATTACCAAACCATACAGAAATTCGGTACCGTAATTACCAGACCATACAGAAATCCGGTACCGTAATTACCAAACCATACAGAAATTCGGTACCATAATTACCAAACCATACAGAAATTCGGTACCGTAATTCCCAAACCATACAGAAATCCGGTACCGTAATTACCAAACCATACAGAAATTCGGTACCGTAATTACCAGACCATACAGAAATCCGGTACCGTAATTACCAAACCATACAGAAATTCGGTACCGTAATACCAAACCATACAGAAATCCGGTACGTAATTACCAAACCATACAGAAATCCGGTACCGTAATTACCAAACCATACAGAAATCCGGTACCGTAATTACCAAACCATACAGAAATCCGGTACCGTAATTACCAAACCATACAGAAATCCGGTACCGTAATTACCAAACCATACAGAAATCCGGTACCGTAATTACCAAACCATACAGAAATCCGGTACCGTAATTACCAAACCATACAGAAATCCGGTACCGTAATTACCAAACCATACTTTACAAAATCGGCACTGTGACCGAGTCAGAAATAAAAGAAAAAGCACCTTTCCTTACCGTACCAGAGGTCTGTCGTGAGCAGCGGAGGTCGGTCGCGGTCGATGGCTCCCCGAGAATCTCTGGGTGCCGGCTGGAGCAGGATCGAGACGTGATCCGCCTCGGCAATGCCCGCGAGGTCCCATCTGGGTCGCCAAAATGTTAGTGTAGGAACTGCCCCATAAGCACCGCAATGGTTCCATGGGTGCTTTACTGCAGCACTGGGGAACCAGGGCCACGCACCCAAATCTGGCTTTGCTCTCGTCCCATCGCACTCGCAATGCACACATTGGATATCGATCGCATCAGTCACTGGTGCAGGGTTCCCACGTCAGGCTGGTGGAGCATCAGCCTCTGCTGCGCTGGCACAGCCCCCTCTGGTGCGGTCCTGATGAAGGAAGGAGTCTTCCTCGGCTTGTTCTTCTCACCTTTCTGTCCTCTGGACATATCCCAGTATCCCAGTATCCCAGTATGTTAGAGACTGGAGGGACCCCATAAGCTCATCCAGTCCAATCCCCCTGCGGAGCAGGAACACCCAGATAAGGTTACACAAGGATGCATCCAGGTGGGTTTTGATGCCTCCAGAGAAGGAGACTCCACAGCCTCCCTGGGCAGCCTGGGCCAGTGTTCTGGCACCTCACTGAGAAGGAGTTTAAGTGGAACCTCTTGTGTTCCAGTTTGTACCCATTGCCCCTTGTCCTATCATTGTTTGCCACTGAGAAGAGCCTGGCTCCAGCCTCGGGACACTCCCCCTTTATATATTTATATACACTAATAAGGTCACCCCTCAGTCTCCTCTCTCCAAACTATAGAGACCCAGCTCCCTCAGTCTCTCCTCATAAGGGAGATGCTCCACTCCCTTCATCATCTCAGTTGCCCTGCGCTGGACTCTCTCCAGCAGGTCCCTGTCCTTCTGGAACTGAGGGGCCCAGAACTGGACCCAATATTCCAGATGGGGTCTCACCAGGGCAGAGTAGAGGGGAAAGGGGACCTCTCTGGACCTACTGACCACCCCCCTTCTAATGCACCCCAGGATGCCATTGGCCTTCTTGGCCACAAGGGCACAGTGTGGGCTCATGGTCACCCTGTCGCCCATAGGACCCCCAGGTCCCTCTCCCCTTATGTGGACGCCAGCATTGTTCTATTGCCCCTTGGCCACCCCTGGTGATTCCTAGGTTCTGCTTGGGTAGAATTTCCCAATCTATCTCTCTAAATCCACCCCTACACCCTTCACCATTTATGGTCCCATGAGCTCCTGCTACCAAGGCTACCATTGTACCACTGGTTCCAGGCTGAGCACGGTACTGGACAGACAGAACTGCAAAACTATGGCTCTTTCTACTCTACAAAATCCCACTATTGATTTATAACCCTCTCAAACATAACCGTTCCGACCAGTTTATAGGATTGAAACTTCACTCTTTTCCAACAATTTCAGCCCAAATTTCACGGATTTTAGTCAAAATTTGAAGGATTTCAGCCCAAATTTCACGGATTTTAGTCAAAATTTGAAGGATTTCAGCCCAAATTTGGGGCAGTTGAGGCCGCATTTGAAGGTTTTCACCCCAATTTGGGGGGTTTTGGCCCAAATTCAAAGGTTTTAAGCCCTCATTTACAGTTTCAGCCCAAATCCTCAGGATTTAAGCCCAAAGTTGAAGGATTTCTGGCCAATTTGAGGGATTTTCACCCAAATTTCAAGGGTTTCAGTCCAAATTTCCAGCTTTTGACCCATTTTGGGGCGATTTCAGCTCAGATTTAAAGCATTTCCGGCCAATTTGGGGGATTTGAGCCCCAATTCACAGGTTTTCAGCCCAAACTTAACGATTCCAGCCCCATTTTTAGGATTTCAGCCCCAATTTGTGGGATTTCAGACCAAAATCGTGGAATTTCCCCCTCAAGTCCCAGCTTTCAGCCCAATTTTGCCAGGATTTGCAGGATTTGGGGCCATTTCCCCCAATTCTGGTGCGTTTATTGCCTATTTCTGGAATTCAGGCCATATTAGCGGGGCTTTGCACCCGATTATGCAGGATTCCGGCCCCGGTTTATGGGATTTGCACCCAAGTAAGAGGATTTTCAGCATTCCAGACCCAATTTGCGGGATTTTGGGCCAAATCTGTGTTTTTTTCCCTTAAATTTAGTGTATTTTATGCCAAAATTGTGGGATTTTAACCGAAATTTGCAGGATTTTGGTTCCAATGTGCAGGGAAATGGCACAAAAGCGGCTTTAGGAGGGGCAGGGTTTGGGGGGACCCCCCCCATTACCCAAATCTCCCCCACAAGTGCCCTTTTGGGGACCAGCATCACCCCAACTGGAGCCTGGGATGTGATTTGGGGGGGGGGGGGAAGTGGGGTGCAGTGATTTAAGGCGGTTGGCAGTGGGGTGCAGTGATTTAAGGGGGTTGGCAGTGGGGTGCAGTGATTTAAGGGGGTTGGCAGTGGGGTGCAGTGATTTAAGGGGGTTGGAAGTGGGGGGCAGTGATTTAAGGGGGGTTGGCAGTGGGGTGCAGTGATTTAAGGGGGGTTGGCAGTGGGGTGCAGTGATTTAAGGGGGTTGGCAGTGGGGTGCAGTGATTTAAGGGGGTTGGCAGTGGGGTGCAGTGATTTAAGGGGGGTTGGCAGTGGGGTGCAGTGATTTAAGGGGGGTTGGCAGTGGAGTGCAGTGATTTAAGGGGGGTTGGCAGTGGGGTGCAGTGATTTAAGGGGGTTGGCAGTGGGGTGCAGTGATTTAAGGGGGGTTGGAAGTGGGGTGCAGTGATTTAAGGGGGTTGGCAGTGGGGTGCAGTGATTTAAGGGGGTTGGCAGTGGGGTGCAGTGATTTAAGGGGGATTTGCAGTGGGGTGCAGTGATTTAAGGGGGGTTGGCAGTGGGGTGCAGTGATTTAAGGGGGGTTGGAAGTGGTGCCCCCCCCCCCGATCCTGGGGTGGGAATGGGAGGAACCAGTGACAAAAAAGTGCTACAAAAGAGGTTTTATTTGCCAAAAATCACTTAAAAAAGAGAGAACAATCCCGAGTATAAAGAGAAGAGGGAGGGGAAGGCACTGGTGCCCCATTGATGGGATAGGAGCAGTGGGGTAGGGATGGATGCAGGAGACATTGGGGACAGTGGGATGGACACAGGGATATGGATGGGATGGAGCTGGGGTGTCCAGGGACATAGGGACAAATAGGACATTGGGTACCTGGGGCTGGAAGGATGGGCATGGAGATCTGGAGGATGGATGTGGGGAGGTATAGGGTGGATGTGGGGTACCCAGGGACGGCAGGATGGATGCAGGGACAGACAGGACTCATACGGGGAGTGGGAACAGGGGGATGGATGTGGGTACCCGGGGATGTGGGGACCTACAGGATGGACATTGGGTACTGAGGGATGGATGCTGAGTACCCAGGGATGGACGCTGGGTACCCAGGGATGGACGCTGGGTACCCAGGGATGGATGTTGGTTGCCCAGAGATGGACATTGGTACCCAGGGATAGACACTGGGTACAAAGGGATGGATGTTGAGTACCAAGGGATGGATGTAGGCTACCGAGGGATGGATACTGGGTACCCAGGGATGGACATTGGGTACCTAGGGACGGATGTTGGGTACCCAGGGATGGATGCTGAGTACCCAGGGATGGATGCTGGGTACCCAGGGATGGACGTTGAGTACCCAGGGATGGATGCTGAGTACCCAGGAATGGATGCTGGGTACCCAGGGATGGATGTTGGGTACCCAGGGATGGATGTTGGGTACCCATGGATGGACACTGGTACCCAGGGATGGACGTTGGGTACCCAGGGATGGACACTGGTACCCAGGGTTGGATGCTGGGTACCCAGGGATGGACACTGGTACCCAGGGATGGATGCTGGGTACCCAGGGATGGATGCTGGGTACCCAGGGATGGACGTTGGGTACCCAGGGATGGACACTGGTACCCAGGGATGGATGCTGGGTACCCAGGGATGGCCATGGAGAGCCCACGGGGCACCCTGTGCAGGACCTCCCCATGGGCTTGGGGCCCCCTAAATGCGGATGCTCCCATCCAGGACCCCCTCCCATTGCGCAGGGCCCAGGGGCACGTAGGCCTTGGAGCTCTGGTCCAGCAGGAACAGGGGGTCAGGGATGGAGGAGGGGTTGAAGCCCTCCTGCGCCAACCGCACCTTCTGCTGCTTGAAGGTGTCCGTCATCTCCAGGCGCTCCTGGGGGCAATGGGGCAGGATGGGACCCATCTGTGGATCCTCCATCCCCATCCCCTTCCCCATCCCATCCCATCCCCATCCCCATCCCATTCCCGTTCCCATCCTATCCCCATCCCATCCCTTCCCATCCCATCCCATCCCCATCCCCATCCCATCCCCATCCCCATCCCATCCCCATCCCCATCCCATCCCCATCCCATCCCCATCC